AATAGTTGTCATCTTAGCAATTGGAACAAAAGTTTCTTTATAATCAATGGTATACTCCTGAGCATAACCTTGAGCAACTAATCAGGCCTTGTGCTGATCAAGAGTACCATCAGCTCGTAACTTGACTTTATAAAACCATTTACTACTAATGACCTACTTTTCTGGGGGCAATAAGACCAAATCCCAAGTGTGATTTGCCTCTAAAGCTGTAATTTTCTCATTTATAGCTATACGTCAGCATTGGAGGTTAGATGCCTAAGAATAAGAAGATGGCTCATGAAACAATGGATTAGTAATGATTGCAGAAGAATAAGTATGGTATGGGCTAATCACTGGTAAATTAAGACGATCAGGTAGAATAGGCTTTCGAAGTGACCGTCGAAGGTGAACATGACATGTAAAAGGATCAACAACTGGAGGTTGTGCATGATCAATACTTGACAAATACGGCTCATCAAAGTGAGTTACTGAATGCGGTAATTTTTTATTTTTATGATAATGTGAAGGAGAAATATCGAAACAAGAAAAAAATGAAAATTCAGGTCCATGTGTGGTTGAATTAGGGTGTGGGCAGTGTTGGTGGAAGCATATATGCTTGAAAATGTAACATGCCGGGATATTCTAATATAATTAATAGAGGGATCAAAACAACGATATCCTCTTTGTGAGGAGAAGGAAAAAGATGACAAATTGACATAACTTGTGAAAGATGGGAAGGAACTTTACTGAAACTAACTGCGAAAAATAATAATGTGTATACAAAACTAAAATGTATAATTTTCAGTTGTCCTTTATTGTCATTGTATATTTGTATAGGGATAATGTGGTATACACTAAATTTGTATTTGTATATAAACCCTTCTAGGGTTTCATTACTTGTTAATGAGAATCAATCGAGATTGTTTATCTCTCTAGATTGTTCCTCATCTTTTTATCTTCTCTAAATCTAATATGGTATAAGAGCTCCAAAGATTTGATCATCTCTTCTTTTTTATTGCTCACAGATCGCCCTATTTTGCAAAGGTCAGTAATCAAATAAATTTTGGTTTCATTCATGATTGGAGCAATATTCGATCTCTCAAATTTTCATTACAAATTTTCTAACAGAAGACCCTTCACAGATTTTTCAGATCCGGGGTGCTGTGTGTTTAGCTCGTAGCTTGAAAATTGTTAATGACGCTTTTTTACTTCACTTAATCTGAGGTTTTATGAGATATGCAATCGGGGAGCCTTGCTCTGGCTCAAGCACTCAAGGCCAACAAAGATCTTGTTGTGACATCCTTGAACCTCTCGAGCAACTTCCTTACTGAGGTATATTTCTAATATTGTTTTTGGTATGGGTTTCTCTCACTAAACCCATCTCTTGATACTCATCCTTTTCCTTCTGGTTGCTTTTGTTTTTTATTTTTTTGTTTACTTTGTGTAAATTGATTTCTTCATGAAATAAGTCAATCAAATTCTCTTTGGTATATTTGGCATTGTAGATTAGGACACCCATATTCTCAAAATTAGCTTTCTCTTTTAAACTCTGGGCTTTTACCTGCTATATTTTCTCATAGAAAAATTGATAAGAATATTGTTTGTGAGATTTACAAGTTGGTAAAGCAACTGACTCAACTACACTCCAACAACTTGCTTCTCAAAAAATATTTATTGATGGGCCATGTTTTTGTTGGAAACCCTCCTACAACAATTAAGAGGGTCTTGTACTCCCATGAGCATATCCTAACCTAGGTTGAACCAAGAGCTTAGAATCATTCTCAATGACCAGTTTAGTAGTTTGGGTTTTATGGCCAACTATATGCCCTTTTCAAGATGCTTAAATTCAGTTGCATTGTCTGAACCAATGCTAATTGTTGAAGCAAAACACAAAAGATAACCCCCATTTGGTCACCAATTAAACCACCATTCATTGCTACACATGCATTTCCAAAATAAGCATCATCTATATTAGATTAAAACAAACCTAGTGATGTAGAAGCCCATTTCATAAAGGAGAAATTTGGTGGTTTAGAGCCCAACCATATGAGTTTAAGATGTTGATAGATTCCCAATTCTTGACATTTGCTAAATCCTTAAGGGTGTGTTTGATTTTTAAAAGACGATGATTTAGAAACCATGTCTTCCAGTAGTATAAAACTTCCTTGTTTGATAAAAAGGTAGTAAAGTGGATATCAAGGTATCCATTTTCCTTGCATTTAAGGCTAAAAAGTAGATGTCGCTAGTTTAATGGGGGACCATAGGACTTGGGGTATTCACTTTCTTGAAAGATGCGGTTTCCAAAACCATATCTTCAAAAAATCAAATACACCCTAATAAAAGCATGAAAAGTACATAAGGTATTTTCCCTTGATTCATACTAGCCTTCGAATATGCATTTATTGCTTTACTGCCAAGGACACCAAATTGTAATCGAGAAATACGCATGACATACCTTTTGATTTGAATATGTATCTTCACTATATCAAGAATGTTTGATGTAGATGATCTTCAATATGATACATTGCCACATAAACTTATAAAAACTACAACTAAGCATTAAAGATGTGTAGCTCACTATGAAGAGTGAGCCAAGAGAACCGTTTTACCCTCAGATGATTAACCGTCTCATAAACCTCCTTAAAACCACGCCTCAAAAGTCCTCTCTCTGCCAAGCATGTTCCCAATCCATTTTGATGGTGCAATTATCATCAGTTGCATGTAACCTAAAAAACTTGGCATCCAATGGATCAACACGAAATGTTTAGGATCACGTAGTATTTCAGGTCTAATTGAGTCCGTTGGAGATCGAGGTAGGCAAAATTCAATAATTAAGAAGATCCATGAATAAAACCAGCCACTATTGAAAATGAGGTGGCACTTAGGGATGGCAATGGATCCAACCAGATCAAGGACTTGATGGGTAAATCCCAGAATCGACGGGTGTGGGTACGGGTCTAAATTTTGAGTCTGAATACTATTTGGGTATGGGTCCAGGTCCCCGTACCCATCCCATTACCCCCTAGTGGCACTTAGTTATCTATGTAGTTCATGGTTATTGAGACTCCAAACTCCTTTTTTAGAAGCCAAATGCATGCACGAGAAAGCAACATGTTCCATATCACTAATCAGCCAATGGACCTCACCCCAAAGCACGCTAAGACCTGTTGTAATACCACTCCTTGCATGTGAACATACCTTCCAAAATCCCACCTACCGAATGAAGTATTCTTGTGGGGAATGTGCTTAAAATATTTGGAAAAAGGGCATTAGGGTCTGAAACTATATGCTATGCAATTTTCATCAAGCACACTTAATTAAACTTAAAAGATCCTTCACATGCCCAGACCACTTTCTTCAAAATTTAGGCAAATGGTCTTCCAGCTTGCCAGGTGAAGATCCCTAACATCTTGCATTTCTTGCCCACTAGAAATTACTCCATATGGTAAGAGGGAAGAGAGGACACGATTCACTAAGGGGGCTATAACTTTTGAGAATTTAAGATGGATGCTTTATACCTCTCGAACGTATATTGTACAAATGCAGTCCAACCTATAGTTAGCAAGTCGGGGGATAATAATATATCGGCAAGCTAAAACATCGATAATGAATTGGTTTTGTTTCAAAAAGTTGGTGGAAAAAATCGGATAAAAAATACGGATCGCCAAAAAATGAGGTAAGTTATGAAGTCATGAATATTTCGGATTTGTCTAAAAAAAACGAAGTGAAAAACTCGAATGTGTAAAGATTATATGATATAGGATTATGATTTGCAGTTATTGTATTGATACATTAAAGCCATTTAACAATAATTTTTATGACCTTAACTAGTGTCACTTGAGTGATACTTGACAATTTATTGTCTAAACTTTCAGTAAGTCCAACAATAGTGCTTACTCTGTTGTCACAACACGAAACATATTGCATATTTATTTGGAGCATTAAATGAAATATAAATAATACTTAACACAAGAACTACATTAGTAGATAACAAGAACGGTAAACTAAGAAAGAGGATTATTGTTTGAAGAAAAAAAAAACACAAAAAAGATCCTTAGTATAGGATTGCAATTAACTAAAACAAAATATAGACCCAAATACATAAAATAGTAGTCCATCCAAAATGCTATGTTATATACACCAATGAAATAAAAAAATACAATTGATCAAACTTCTCTATATATAAAGAAAGCAATAAAATGTTTAAGCAAATTCAAATCTTACAGTGATTTTCTATCCGCTTAAAACTTTAGTATATAAAATCTTTAAGAAAATTCGAATCTCACACAAAATGCTCTTTGTAAAGATGCACTGGGGTTTAAAGAAAAAAAAAAATATTTTTCATTAGGTTAGTCTTCTGACTCTACCTATTATTTTGAGATATACAATTGTTTTGATATTTTATTTTTTAGAGAATATATTGTTTATAATTTTTTGTAAACTTTTTATGGGAAATTATTGGTGAAACGTTTTATGGAATTTTACTTTAAATCAAGATTCTTAATTTACTCCTATTAATTTGCTTATCTTTAAATAAAAATTCAATAATGTTAAGTTAACGAAGAAATGAAGTTATAGGGAAGAATTTTTTTTTGAAAAGTCTTTTTTTAAAAAAAATGAAATACAAGTTCTTAATTTACTCCTATTAATTTGCTTATCTTTAAATAAAAATTCAATAATATTAAGTTAACGAAGAAATGAAGTTATAGGGAAGAAATTTTTTTTGAAAAGTGTTTTTGAAAAGAGATGAAATACAAGTTTACATCGGTCCCATGAAAAAAATACGATTTTTTGAAGATCTTTTTGAAAAACTCATAGTTCGAAATGGATTTCAAAAAATCGAAAAAATTTTGTTTTAATAAGAGACTTGCCGACTATGGTCCAGCCCGCATTAAACAATGTTTTTTTTTTTGATACAACCGCCCCGGCCGGTTCGACGCGGACCCGGTAAAGGGCGGCTTGAACTGCCGCGCCGAACGTAAAAATTAGGGAAACATATTTACTCCGGATTATGGGTTTGATACCAGCAGTTGAACTCTCACTTTCTCTCTCAACAAAATGGTGTGACATGCCGAAGCACTCTAAACTTAGCATTCAGCTCGCTTTCAGTCACTTCTCCTGCTCTCTTGGATTTTTATCTCAAATTTTGAAGCCCTACTTATTCCATGAAGATCAGCGTTTGATACGGAGCTTCTCAGTGTTGAATGCGGCGGAGAAGAGGGTTCATATAAGGCGACAAGTTCGTGCTATGTTTTCTCTATTTAATCTCTATATTCACCCTAATAACTCTGGAAATGTGCCATATCTTTGGCTTTTCTTTCCTTTGTTCTTCTTGTTCTGCAATTTCTCTAAATATAAGATAGTTTCTAATGGCTACTGTCACAACAATTTTTTTTTGTTTTTCCCGTTTTTTGATAGGTTCTTTTTTGGCCTAACTGATCCCCAATTTTTTTTTTTTTGAAAATGGTTAACAATTTTTTCTTATTTGAATATCAAACAAACTTGATCTTATTTGAGAAAATCTTTGTTTCTCTGTACTGTGTTTCTAGCTTTTTGACTTCCATTCTAGAAGACTTATGTATGGAATGTTTGCATTTTACAGATCAGAAGTTGTGGTTATTCTGCCCTTTTTGCTTCGACTTGCAGAGTAAATAGGAGCTATTTATGCAAAAACATGTTCTACATTTCTCTTTTAGTTATCTCCCCATCTGAATTTCACTGCATTTCTCCACAAATTTGCATGGAAATTCCTAATCTCTTGTACAACTTTTGGTATGCAATTTTTTGAGTGTTGCATTATTTAATTGGTTCCACTAATCATATCATAGGCACGAAAAAAAAAACAAAAAAATCATATGGTGGGATGTGGTATTCATTGCTGAGTTTAATCTCTCAATGCCTTGATTCATTCATAATTTTCTTTGTTGAACTTAAATATTTAAGTTGACATATGGTTCCAGTTTTAACTATAGTTAATCATTTTTTTTGGTTAATTCTGGACTTTAAAGCCATAATTGGAATTTCACGTGTTTAATTTGTTATTCTGTAGAAGCACTCTTAATTGTCATTGTATGTGGATGTTACATGTATGATGTTACATTGACATATTAGGTTGCTACCTAAAGGCCTTGTGCATATGCTACTATGGATCCAATTTCTATAGTTGAGAGAAGTTGAAAGAGCAAACATATATTCACTGAGAGGGAGAGTGGAAAGAGTAAGAATGAGTGAAATTGCGCAAGAAGCCAGGTTGATGATTTCATAAGCAAGGAGAAGGTCGGGATATGAAATTGAGTAAAAAGGAAATCCATCACCTGTGTTAAGAACGGTGGTGAAGAACTGACATGTCTAAACAGAGGGAGAGTGTAAAGAATAAGAATGAGTGAAATTGGGTTGAGAGAAGCCAGGTTGAAGATTTCAAACGCAAGGAGAGAGTTGGGATGTGAAATTGAGGAAAAAGGAAGTCTATAATGCGTTTAAAATGATTATGAAAAACCGACATGCCGACATGGCAACATTCCAACCTCCTTGCAAGTTGGCAAACAACCATTGACTCCCCTATGATCTCATGAACTTAATCTTCTAAGGACCTTGTTTCCACTCTTGCAGTATTGAATACCTTCCCCTGCAACAGATCATACCCTCCCTCTGCTTCTCTATCTCACTAGAGAGTGAGACTGACCCACTATTTCTTTCCAAGTCCTACTCGTCATTCCCACTCCATTGAACCTAGACCATGGACTAGTGGTTTGGTGAATCATTTCAAATGGATGCAACCTATTCAGGGCGACCACATGTGTTTTTATTGTCATTTCTCTCCCATAAGCATGTAGGCATTATCTGAGGAGATCAGGTGAAATCACAGTTTCATTTGCCTCTTTTAAAGAAGGTAGCAAAATCAACCCAACCAACCCAGTTACAGGTTGCCTCCGAAGTGATGCTCCATATAGGCCCTAAATCTCCACCTCATTAGCAGGTTTGGCATAGTCACCAGCCCTGGATGGTCTCACAGTGATCCTCCACACCTCACCCCAACAAGGAGGCTTCACAATGAATTGCACTCAATTTCTGCAAGCATCTTTGGTAGTTTTTTCCACCCCTAGAGACAACTTCAAGGGCATTGAGAGATGGGCTAGATCCTCCTAGAACTCATCTTAGCAGGATCCAAGAAGCTTTGACTAAAAAGGACTTGAACTTTAGAGGTGGTGCCCTGCATCTCATACCATGGTTGTACTAACTTTGTCACCCTATGAAAGAAAAATATGTTGATTTAGGTTGGGGACATCCTAATCCATGCTTGGCGTTAAGACATGTTTCAGCAAATTGGATATAGTTGCTGTGGTTTTGTGCAAAATTCACTTGCAATCCTTTGGTTTTGTCCCTATGGGATCACTTTATATCCTTATTCGGACTATAGACCCCTCCTTTGTTTCTGGATCTCTTGATCTTCCTCCACTAGATTTTCCAAATATCCATAAGCAGTAACAAATAAGAACAAGGCTTGCCTTCAAGTGGCTGTCACGTCCTGGCCTCCACCCATGGAATGGAGCATGACTTTTGGAGAACGGAACCATGACCATAGGAAGAGGAAGGTAGCTTAATTACCATGAGTGGAATATGGTTGTCTGTTGGCATCAACAAAGAAAGTTCAACCACTGGAGACATCATCAACTCCGTAAGCCCTAAGCAGAGGAGGATGCATAAAGGTTACAGCACTGGATTGGTCCAGGTCAGCAACCTTACGCAGGCATACAAGACATCAACAATGTGTATTGCTCCCAAGGATCTCAAATCCTTTAAAATTTAAAACATGCAGAAGCGCCATCTTGCCCCACACTTTTGGATGTCCCTAATCATACCCTGGCCCTTGAATGCTTCCCCATCTCTTGATCATCATTGCCCGATGTCCCCACAAGCCCATATCGTTGGCTCCATCTGTACCAACGTTGTTAAGACTGGACCTGTGACAACCAGTGAGGGCACTGGGCCAGATTGGTTCACCATTTAGATCAGTCAAAGAATTAAAAAAAATAAAGATTCGAAAAATGCAAAAAATTAAAATGAGAAAAACTACTAAACTATACCAAAAATTTAATAAACTTATTTGGAACAAATTTAAAATCATAACACACAATGTGTCCATAATTTCATATCTCATGATGCATTCTAATAAACCAATAAACAATGCAAACAAAAATTATGAAGAAAATACTGAACTATTAAAGGAAAATGGTTATAATTCCTAACTTGAGGTGATAAAGTGGCAACACTCACAAGTCGACACCTCCACATCCTATAGCACAATAATCACGTAATTAAATTGCATGACTGATCACATCTTATTAAATTTTTAAAATATAAAAAAAGTCTTATTGAGTCAATATTCCTCTTCATTTGCATCTGTTTCCTCTTCATTTCCACGTCCTTCCTTTTATTGAATTCCTTTGTATTGATCTCTAAATCATCCTTTCAACCCTCCTACAAAGTTACAAAGTAAGTTATCAATGTTTAAATGTTAATGAAATTTATCTAAGAATAAATCAATAAATCATTTAAAGTGGTGAAAGTTAGAAAATAAAGAATAATTTAAAACTTAAGTTCTTGTGATGATTCCATCTCCATCCAATCATCCAGCTACTCCTCAATTCCTTCAGGACTTGGCAACTCTGTTTTGACAACACATTCATGTGCAACATCTATCCTATCTATGTCAATGAGTTCTGAGTAGATGGGTCTTTGCATCGTCCTGGATTTCATAACATTTCATAAGTTATATTATTTAAATTTTAAAGTGTAAACTCTAACCATGAGTTGAATAATAAGGGAACAATAAAAGAAATCGAAGTCAATTATTATGCCTCAAGCTCATGTTGCTTTGCAAAAAGACCAAATTGTTGAGCCTCTTGTGCTCTAACCTATTTCGCACATCCGTATGGATGTGTGAGAAAATGCTCCAATTCCTTTTGCAGCCACTCGTGCTGTAAGTTTGGCTAATGATACAAATAGCACACTTTGATGGTTTGGAGATCCCCCACAAAACTGTTCTCATCAACCTGCTGAAAAATGAATATGGACATTAAATGTTAGAGTTAGTCATTAACATCGTGAGGTTGAGACATCATAACATGCAACGAACATTAAGAGGATAAAAAATAAATTAATAAAGTGAATTACCTTGGAGGATCTCACCACATAGGTTGATCGCTATTGGTCACCCAAACTCTCTTGTTGCCTTTTCATATGAGCATATTTCCTACCTAATCTTGTCTTTGATATTCTTTATAGGTATAACATCTTTGTCAGGCCGTGCAAACTCCTCCTAAAGAGGTGGTTAGAAAATTTGGCTTTGTTATAGTAGAATTGTGGGTTGAGCCAGTAACCAGCTGCATGTATAGGGTGATGCAGCTGCATATCCCATCTCTCATGTATTATATCCTAGTACATCTCATAGTAGCTCTTCCTATGCTTAAATGTTGCAGCTATTGCCTCTTTGGGCCTATTTATTGTCACATATACATGCCCAATAGTAGGCCTAGAGTCACCATCAACAGAATCCTCATCACCTTCATTGGGTGCTCTATTACTTTAATTATGTTGGCAATTGGGTCCCAAACCCACTTGATGGCCTTCCATCTAATCTTCTTGCCCATACAGAATCATGCTAAGCCAATGATGTAACGCTGGCTCTTAACCATCCTTCTGCTGCAACGTACTTTGTAAGGTGAGGAAGTTAGTAGCAATCTAGTTATTGCCAGCCTTGTAGGGTTATTCATAATATTGAGGACAAATAAGTAGTTATAAATAAATTTTATATGTCTTTTGCCTTATCTACAACCTCCTCAATACGAGACATCCTCCCTATAGCCACTAGCATCAAATTTTCGTAGTATGCCGCATGCGAAGTTCAAAACATAATGGGATAATGGTATTACAGCAATTACCTTTCAAGTGAGTAGTTGACTGCATTGTAAGTAATAGATTGGACCAATTCTCTGGCCTATTTACCTCAACAACCCCCCTAAATCACTCAAACAATGCAGCCCAGTCTTTATGATGCATTCATAGACCTTAACAAGATTGTCCCTTGTGTTAGTAAACCAAAACATTGATTAATTGCCTATCCCTTGCAGACTACCACCCGTCATCCACAATAGAGCACCTGTGGATAGCCCATATCTCCCTATAGGTCTTCTTGTATTCTTTGATCTCGTTTGTGTTTTTCTTAAGCAACCTACTCCTCAGAGCATGTTAGCCAAGGCTGTAATAACTTGGGCCTATGGATTTCACTGCATCCAACATAGGCTGAGGCTAAATACATGTGTGCCCTTTCTATTGCTTTCTTCCCAGCCAAAACACTTTTGATGGCGGATTAAGAGCGTGGTCTTGTCATAGGTTGGAAATAATTCGCTATCCCACCTGACCATGTAGGCCTGCTAGACACAATCTCACTAGAAGGTGTACGAGGAAGCTCTTTCCCTTCCTCCTAGACCTAGACAATCGGTCCTCCTTTTCTTCCACTTTCTCAACGTCCTCTTCGATAGGAGTCAGATGAGGGTTCCAACTCTCATTAAGGATTGTGCTTCTTTTGCTTTTCAGCACTATGATCGTCAATGCTCTTTTGCATCTCATTCATCATGTGTGGGGGAG